CCGCCTCCTTGCGTGTCCAAATCCCAAATCCCCCTGCTGCCCTCTGGTGGCAGCTCACGAGAGCTGAGCACGCTGGAAGGGGAAATCTTGGTTAGCAAAATGAACGTGTTGGCACTGGGAGCCTTTCCAAACAGGAAGCTGCCCAAGACCGAGTTTACTCGCCAAAGATTCCATGCCTAAGTCGTTACCGTACGGGATGCCGTGTGAGGCTGGAAAGCTTCGGTGTCATTTCAGAGCCTGGGCTGAGACGGGAGGGTTGGGTGACCAATCTGTGCTGCTCAGTCAGCCGGTGCTGCCTGCTTGGGGAACGTACCGAAAAAAAAAAAAAGCATGAAAATGAGAGCATGTTAACGAGCTTTTTGACTTCCCAACTTTTAAGACTCTTTCAAAAAATGATTCTTATCATACCCCCCCCCCCAAGAAAAAAAAAAAGGTGATGATATTTTTGTTGAATGTTTTTGAGATAAAATCTGGGAGCACAAACATGTTTTGGAGCTTATTAAGAGAAAAATGCTTACTGTTAGTTCTTCCAAGCAGCTTTTTCCGCGGTAGCTTAAAGATCTGCTGTACTCTGTCACATTTTTGGGAGGGGAAAAAAATATCTCTTAACCTTTCTGGTTTGATGAGTAATCTAAAGGAAGCTTTTAGATAGTACACGTATACTGTCTTTCAGAACAGAGGTTCTCATGGGTGCCTTTTCAGTGAGTCTTAACATCGCTTTATTTATTTTTCTGCCCAGGCTTTCTTCTAAAGGTGTTTCCCCTTTGCATCAGTGACAAAAAGGATCATGACTCAGTTGCTCCAGTTCCCAGACGGGTGTTTAGTCCAAACTGACCTTTTTTTTCTTTTTTTTTTTTTTTTTTTCCTGGGGGCTAAGATGCAGGGTTGTGACCTAGGCTGCCCGAGTTTGGGATGTTACCGTTGCTTTTGCTATGAGTGTGGTGACTTCTGAGGAGCTGGCACACAGTGAGGGCATCTTAATCCCCTGCAGCAATATACACTGGAAGCTTCTAATTTCACACTTCCCTTCTTCATGCTCATGAAAAAAGCTTAGGAAAAAGGACACAATATCTCCTGTAATTCTTTCATTCCAGAACACTTTATAAACGCCAATATGCTGCTGCTGGATCAGGCAGTCTCAATTGCTTTTTCTTGCCTATGTATGTGCCTCTCCTCTCCCATGTATTGGTGCTGTGCTCTGTAGATATTAACACTGGTCCCAGAACAGTGTAATTAGTTTTTCAATAGGGCTGTTAAGTCCAGGCACACTGCCATGCTGCTGTAGCTCTAATAATTCTGTTTCTAGGGCTAGCTCCCTCTGAGTTAGCATAGTTGTCTCTTTTGTGTGGAACTGCACTTATGTTCCTCATTAGCCTCTTTTTTTCGCAAGTCTATTAAATTGTTGGGTGACCCTTGGTAACTGACTTAGTTACAGTGACCTCATATGCTCGCTCATTCATACAAACAGTAACATTGGTTTGATAGAGATGTTTGTTTTTATTAAAAAAAAGTTGTAATTCAATTAAACTTGTGTGTTAAACAGCCCATTCACAGTTGTCTACAGGTAAAAGGTAATTCTTTAGAAAGCAGAAGTGTTTAAAAATACACTTTTCAGTGTTTGAAATCTCTCTCTTTGTTTTGTTTTGTCTACTATAGCTACAAATCAGTGGTTCCTTCCTGCTGTAAGAGGAGATATTCCTCCAGGCTGTGCAGCACATGGCTTCGTTTGTGATGGTACCAGAATATTAGTTTTTGGAGGAATGGTTGAATATGGAAGATATAGTAATGATTTATATGAATTACAGGTAGGAAATGTATGAAGATGATCCAGTTTTGAGGACTACTTTATTTATCTGTTTATGAACAAACACATATTACCAACTGCAGAGGAAAGTTGGGTGAGCTTTGCTCTGCTACAGGAAGAACGAATTCTTTAAATAGATTCTGAAGATGGAGAAAAAGAGACTTCCATCCAGTCTAAATAAAGTATAAAATACTTAATGTTTTATGAAGGTTAGCTCTTACGTGTCCCTTTTAATGTATATTCCAAGAAAAGCCCAGCATTCTCTTAAAAATAATTCAGAAAATATACAAGTGAATTCTATTGACTATGAACGATTATAAATGAAGATATTTCTGAATATATATTTCTCGTCTTTAAGGCAAGTCGATGGCTCTGGAAAAAAGTAAAACCTCGAGCTCCTTCCACTGGATCACCACCTTGTCCTCGGCTTGGCCACAGCTTTTCTTTATATGGTAACAAGTGCTATTTATTTGGTGGCTTGGCAAATGAAAGTGAGGATTCAAATAATAATGTTCCCAGGTATGCTGATTTGGTTTGAATTAAATGTCTTTAAAAATAAACTATTAGGTACGGCACTTTGGAGAGGAACGTTCTGGGGAAGTGTCCTGCATACCAAGCACTCACATTTGGATTATTTGTGCAGTTGAGGGGTTACACGCTAAGAAGCTTAAATATTTCTTCTGCTAATCCCACAATATGTAACACTGACAGCTTGAACACTTTTGGAGGGAAACCTGAGCAGACTTCGGTATCTTTCCTGGTATTTTGGGTGATGTTTTTAAGGATGGCTTGTTTATTAGAATGACTTTAATCAGCAAAGTCTCATGAGTCATCAGGGAATTCACAATGGAAGTTTCCTCTATAATGCTGTGGGAAGCAGTTATGAATTCATCTGGAAATTTTTTAAAGTAACAGCTCAAGTTGTCTTTATTATTGGCAAACAGTGGAATAATGCTGAAGTTTTATATCCCCATTCACCTGCAGTTCAGAGCACTTATAGCCACTGAGCTATAAACCGGCTATAAATTTTAAGCTCAGTAAAAAAGAGGTATCTGGTGTGAATGCCAAGATTCAAAGACTGTTATCTAAAAATAACTTGCTGATAGATTCAGCAACAAATGGCTAATTGTCTGTTGGCCAGCCTGAAGCCATCAGAAAAGAAACAGCTTCTTTTCACCTTTGTTGCCTTGGAGTTGCAGAAGTTCATCTCTAATACCCCTCATCATCGTCTATTTCTCACATCTTTGCAGTTTATTCTAAGCTTGTCCATATGTAGTAATTTCTACTAAGAATGTTTTTACCAATGGTGAATGTTTTTTTCATGTACTGTAGTGTATAAAGTATGATATGAAAGCATGTTTCCTTAGAGGCAACAAGTTATAATAGTTCATTTTTTGTTTTAAATCCATTTCGTTTTGGTATGATCCACAATGCCACCAAATATTTTGGGATATTAAAATTCTACACTCTTCCAAGACATAAGTCTGTAATACTTGGAAGTGGTCAGGGTTTAAAGCTCACTTCTAATCTTGCTTATAAGCGAATTTTTCATGCTTTGTCAATAATACCCCAGATATTTAAATGACTTCTATGAACTGGAGCTGCAACATGGTTCTGGAGTTGTCGGCTGGAGTATTCCTGTGACCAAAGGGATTTTACCGTCTCCCCGAGAATCTCACACAGCCATCGTATACTGCAGAAAAGATTTGGGAAGTCCAAAGATGTATATTTTTGGAGGGATGTGTGGCTGTCGGCTTAATGATCTCTGGGAGCTTGACATAGGTGAGTTGATTTGCCAGTATAAGTCAGTGCAGGGACCTCACTGACTAAGAGGAAAATTATGGTATATGATGATTAATGGTGTGATATGGTGCAGATATTACTGGGACTCACACCATAGCGTTAACCTTTTGTAATTTTTGGAATTAAATAGGTACAGCATTGTTTGCTTGTATTATCCTCACTGATTTTTGGCTGCACTGTGAGATTGTTTCCTCAGAGTGCTTTAAAGACTGTCAATATGATAACCAAGCTGAATAACCATAATGAAACCATAATGTATCTTCCTGATAAACTGACAAACAACTAGTTTGTCACTGTTTCCTGACAAAATTTTAAAAGAAGCTGTAAGTGCTTGTTATTGCACCTTCTTCCTTAAAGTGGCGATCTTAAAAAGGTGACGTTTTGTTGAATGTTAGAGGTATGTTCCCTCCTAAAATCCAGGTAGTGAAATACACAGTAATAAGTTGCTTGAGGGGGTTTTATTCTTTTTCTTTTAGAAACCATGACCTGGTCAAGACCAGAAACTAAAGGGACAGTACCACTTCCTCGCAGTCTCCATACGGCCAATGTAATAGGAAACAAGTATGTCTGTTGTTAAAAGCTCAACTCTAGAAAGGTACACCTAGTAGGAGAATGATGATGCTTAACCACTACCGCTCAGTATAAACCATCAGCCCTGTAGAGTACTTGTCTGCTTCTATTATCCTGCCTCAGTGGAAACTAAAAAGTACCAGTATTAATTTATGGGTATCAAACTGTCAGCATTTCTACCCGGCAGGACAATCCGCCCAACCCACAAGCAGCTTTCCAGGCTTCTTAATGCACCTTTGTGCATTCTGGCGTGGTCTCAGCTGGACCTGAGCTGGCTCTGTCAGGAGCCAACTTGAGCGCCTCTGTGCCTGTGACATAACGAACTAGCTATGCAAAGAAACTGCCCAAAGAGTAGAGGTAGTTCTAGGCAAAACCATTCCACATTTTTATGGGCCAGTTTTTCTGTAGTCTGTTCCTCATTACTCTGCTTCTTGCCAGTATGATTTGTTTTGGCAGATAGCATTGATAAAATCGACTTTTAAACACTGTTTTCAGTCCATTTTATATCAGTTTACAAGCTGGCGTGAGGGGAAGGAGGCAAGGCGGGAAAGAAGTGTGAAAGCTTTGTATCTTATATCGAAGAGCTTGGCTTTTAATACTTACATAAAATGTTATTAGTTTGTAGCCTGCATTATGTTTTTAAATTTTTATATCTGACTTAGGTACTGTTTTTTCTAATTTTAGAATGGTTTATTGAGAGGTCTGTAGTGAAGGGTTGTAGAAATTTCGTGTAAATGTGTGATTTTTGGAGAGTATTTGCAGTTTGGTGGTTTGTAAAAAGATACAGTATTAACTTCTATTTCTGGGAAGTTGTTTGAGGAGTTGGGAGGGGGAGGTTGTTCGGTTGGTTTATTTAATCGGTTAACTTACGAAAGAATTTCCAATGGTAGTTGTTTGCAACAGTACTTTCTCAAGAGACTAGGCACAAACAAAATCTGCTGTAAACCAGAACTGTAAAGCACTGGAAGTTTTCTGTTTTGTCCTAGTTTGAGAGAGCATATGCAGCAGATCTGGATGTTAATTGGCTTTTCTTTTTCTTTTTGCCTCTTCCCTCTTTTCCTGTATTTCAGAATGTATGTTTTTGGTGGATGGGTTCCACAGTCAGCAGGAGGTGAAATTTCTGCTCATGATGGTGAATGGAAATGTACCGGTTCATTTTCTTATCTTAATTTGGGTCAGTGTTTCTGCCTTTATGGGAGTGGGCATTTTGAATTAATACTTTCCTAACAGAGTAGAACAAATATTTTGAAGACCCTGAGAAAAGTTGTAGGATACGCAGTTATAATCCTAGCTGACTAAAGAAGATGCCATTTTTTTGTATCTTTCTTAAGAAGTGATTTTTTAATCATTATTATTATTTTTCTTTGACCATTCAGTATGTTTGCTCATGGAAATCTTTGTTCATTCAACTTTAATGCTAAGTAATATAGATACTCCTTCTTCATTTATAGTAGAACACAAGAGACAGATCCTGAAATAATTTTTTTCTAAATGTGATAGTACTATCCCCAAATCTTCTATTTGCCTGAGAGAGACAACCAGAGGTCAGAAAATTCATCCTGTATTAAATGATTGTGTCTTGCAAACTAATTGGAAGGTGACCTTCTCTTTGTAATATTGCAAATTTAAATGCAGCTGTCTATAAAAACAGAGGTGATTAATTTTCTGTGAGCAGTTAAGTGTATTAACATCTGTATTGCTTGTTTTGGAAGACATCTAGAAACTAAATTTTTTGAGTTTCATTTACTAGATACCACAGAATGGATAGGTCTGATCTCAGATTGCCAGGAGGACAAAAGTAACTTGTTACCAGGGCCAAGAGCAGGACACTGTGCTGTAGCGGTTGGCACTCGTCTGTATATCTGGAGTGGTAGAGATGGTTACAGAAAAGCTTGGAACAATCAAGTTTGCTGCAAAGATCTTTGGTACCTTGATACTGGTGAGTCAGAAATAAGTAAGAGACTTGTACTATGTACCATATTTTGTTAACATATTGGAAGCTGGCATCATTGATGATCAGAACATCTAAAGCTGGACCAAACTCAGATTATTTACATTTTAAAGCTTATTTAAATAAACCACACTTCACTGTTGATTGTTTGAAAGCTACAGCTATAACTTAAACTGAAAAAATTAGGAAGGCTTGTTTAAAGCCTCTGAGAGAACTTTGTGGCTATGTTCTGTGTTGCATGCCATAGTCAGTAGATGCAAGGTGCTGAAGAGTGTTTTACCTAAACTCAAGGTTCCTGGCCTCTCGGTGATCTTTTCTGCTGCTACTTACTCTTTTTTACCAAACCCCTCTTTCTCTTGGGATTATTGCTGCTGCTGCTGCTTCCTCATCTCTTGGACTGCAAAAAGATACTGTTGAATCTGAAAAAGGACCAAATTGTTCCTGGGGCTGAAGGGAATTCTGGAGCACTAATCACTCATTAGCTGGCTTGATGGCAGGACACTGAAATGGTATTGGGAGAGAGGGAACTAGAACAGTACTTTGGGAGGGAGTTGTTGCCCGCTCATGCAGAAGTGTGAGAATGGTTACTGGAGATTGTGAAACATTTGGGAGATCATTTTCTTTTTTCTTTTTTTTTTTTTTCCCCCTTGTTTTTTTTTTTCCCTTCGGGAAGGTCAGAAAGCAAAAAGAATAGCAGGGGAGGGGTGTGCTTGAGAGTGCAGCCTAGTCGCGCATCAAGGCAAGTGAGAGGAGCAGGTCATTGGCATTGAATCATGCCTCGGCTTCAGCCTCTGCAGAAGAAGTGTGAGGGGAAACCTCGCTTCAGCTACAGAGAGCAAGCAAAAAGGAAGCACAATCTTCTGTGAATCCTTTCCAGGAATGTGTAAAGCTTTAGGAGCCAAAGAGCTGCATGCTGCCTTTTAGGAAAGGAAAAGGATCTCTTATCTCTGAAATCCCTATGATTATGTATATACAACCCAAAGCCTTACTGGCAGCAGCAGAACCATTAAAAACCAAAGAAAGCATCAAAACTTCAGTGTTTTTGAACAGTCTAGAATGACACTTTATAATTCTTTGGCTTGACTTGCCACCTTTTGACAACTCTTTCTTGATGAATCTGGTATATCTTGTACATAAAAACACATAAGTGAAAAAGGAGCTATTGATTTTGCTTGCATTATATAGATATTTCTTAAACTGATAAAAGGGGGGCAATTTCAAACATGCCATCTGTGTTTTACTGGTTTCTTGTAGAGAAACCTCCAGCACCATCGCAGGTACAGCTGATTAGAGCTACAACCAACTCTTTTCAAGTGAAATGGGATGAAGTACCTACAGTTGAAGGATATCTTCTTCAGTTACATGCTGACTCACCAGTGCCATCGGTGGCTGGTATACCTGGTACTGGGGTTCCTGAGACATCAGTGCTGAGTTCACAAGGTAGCAGTCCGATCACATTACGCTAATGTTTGTGCAAAAGTGGAGTAGAGGATTGCATAAGTAATCAATATGAGTTTGGGGGTTTTTTTTAAAAAAAAAAAAAAATAATTTTGAGAGAGAGACCCTATTTCTATGGTTGTTCCCAAAATGTGTGCATCATAATAATGGGGAATTCAGCTTTAACTCATCACCGTCAGTTTTGGCCAGCTATCTGAATACAAAGGTATTTGTACAGCACTGGACACGATTTGAGAAAGGAAATGGTGAGGAAGGGATTTTATCTGACTGGCCGTACGGTTGCATTTCAGTCTTACAACCAAGACTTCCTTCAGGCAACTTTGTGTCTCCTTCTTGCTTACTGGAATAGATTCCAACCAACATAATATTAAGTTTTGTGTAACTGATTGGAATTTGCTTTTGTTTACCTGAAAGGTGGCTCTTCTCTACATCAAAGTCCACAATCATTGCCTAGTGTCCCTTATCCAGAAATGAAGGTGGATCATCCCAGCCAAACAAATAATGTCATTCCTAATAACGTAAGTGTAAACTGAAAAATGCCTAAGTGACAAAGTAGTGTGGGAAGCAAAAGAACTGCCAAAACTCTTTCTCAGTTTTAAAAGTCCCTCCATACTTTTTAGGCTTTAGAAAAAACCCCAAATGAAACAAAAAAACCAAAACCAAGACACCTGCTGAAGTAGTTGTGTCTGTTTACTTACATCCTTCTTTCTTTTATGATTGACAGACAGTCTTTAAAGTCCTCTTCCTAGTAATGCGGAAAGGAAACTGCAACTGTATTGACTTCCGGAATGCTCACTGGGAGCCTGATACCAGTAGAAATACTATTAATCCTCAAAATGTTGGTGAAACTAATGTGGGAGGCAAAAAGGCTAAAGCATATTACTTCTTTGTTAGTGTTTTTATGCCAGTCTGCTTATTTATAGGTTCCTATTACAGCATAAACCCAATTACTGTCTATTCTGGATGTGCAGTTTTACGTGTTCCACTGTTTTGCCAATTTAAAAGAAAGAGGGAGGAAAAACTCTAGCTACAGGATCACATTTTTAGAAATTTAGACCTTTTCTTAACTGTGTAAGGCTTCTGTATGGGATCCATAATGTAATTCTTGTAGAAAACACATGTAGAAATACTTTGAATTTTACTAACAGTAGAAATATCTTAGGTATGTGCCAGGAAAGCAAAGGTTGAAAGCTTCTGTAATTGTGGTTTTCCCCATCCCCTTGAGTCCCCCCACTAGACTAAATGTATGCATCAATGAACTTCCGTGTAATAACATAAGAATGTGAGCTCACTCTCAGATAAAAGTTAGTTTGTGTCAGGGGCACTTCCAAGTCAACTTAAAGTTTGAATCTTTGTTTTATAATGGCTAAAATAAGGCAGATTGAGAGGTTGGTTTCTTGTTTTAAAGTGCTTGGGGGATATGTTGGAGGATTTTTGTTTTGTTGTTTTCGAGCAAGCATTTTCATGCCATGTTTGCAACTGAAATTTCTGAACTTTGCAGTTAAACGTTAACAAATGTATTGTTTTGGTTAGGTCCAAGTTTCCCTTTCATCCAACTCATTATTAAAAGTAGAAGGAAAAGAAAAGGTTGCAGCACCTGAAAACAAGATTACACAGGAGACTATGAAAAACCATGCAGATGCTACAGGATTCAAAGAATCAAATGCCCCTTCTCTTTTGCCTGTTTGTACTTCAAGTAAGATGACTATAGAATAAAAATTAATTAAAAAGTGAGAGTTAAAATTCATCTCATAAACATAAAATTAGATTATTTCTGTATTGCAATTTAAAATTATTTTAAAGGCCTTTGTAGTTTAAAAACAACCAACTTGTGATAGTTATTACTGTACATATTTTTGAAGATATGAGGAAAAATGGAATCGTAACTTGTTTGAAGTGTTGCAAGGGACATGAAATTCTCAATGTATTCATTATTATGATGGCAAATGTGTCTCTTTAAACATAAATAGCCCTTTTTAACATCAAAGAACAGACTGACAGGACCAGATTCATTTTACAACGTTAAGGTGATAGTAACTCCAGGCTCTTTGACAGTACTTCTGTCTGTTAATAGTGGAAAGCTTATTAGCCAATGTAAAACTTTAGGTCATGTAGAGAGGAGCATCTTCTCTCTGACTGTAGAGGAAATAGAAGATGACTAGGCACTGATTTAGGCGTTTCACTGAAGTGCCTTAAGTTCAGTGTGGTGAATCCACGCTCAATCACCTGTTCTGTTTATATTTGACTTCCATGTAACTTACAGGTTGTTGGATTTTCAGTTTCTTCACAGTGTGATTTAAGTATTGTATGGAAATTGTGGATCTTAGTGCTAGGTGAGAAACAGACTTCCACGGTGGTTAATCTTAAGTTGATTGTTACAAATCTGTGATACTGATTTGCATAGATACTTTCTCTTTATATTAGGATTTTTTTCCCAAATTAATCCTTTTGCAACCACATAGATACAGAATAGCAAGCTTAAAACAAATCGCTGTTTTAATATAACTGTTTACATATATTTATTTATGACTAAGCAGACATACTCTTTTTAAGTTGCATACCTAAAGAAAGCATTAGCAATGAATATAATCAGACCTATTCTAACCTAAATCTGAGCTAAACTCTGTTTCTACATGAAACTAAAGCCATTAGATCAAGTTGAGATTTGTTGGGTGTTGCCAATATTGAATTCTGGTTAATGTTTTCTTTTTTTTAAGGTCCTCAGACTTCAGCAAATGTAGGTGAATTACATGACTTGGACAAACGAACTGTAAATCCTGATGCATCTGTATCCAGTACTGTCTCCAGCACACAAACTATGGTAACCCAGCAGGCTGTTAAAACTGAATCATCAAGTACAAATGGGGCAGTTGTTAAAGATGAAACTTCACTAACAACATTCAATTCAAAATCTGAAGGTTTGAAATGTGTTTCACATACTGTATTTTGAGCCATATATATCTAAGGCCATCAGAGTTCCTCTAGTGTGGTGGGATTCCCATCTTGACTATTACCTGGGACTGAGATAGGGTTTTGGGCATTGAGGATCTTGGGCAGCCTGGATGATCTCTGCTATGATTTAAACATCTTTTAAAATCAGGATATTCCTTTTATACATTTGTAAACCACTTTTTTCCTGTAAGTGAAAAGTACTTTAAGTCTTCATGTATGCAGAAGCCCATTTTCTAAATAGCAGCAGCAGCCAGTTTTGGTGCCCATAGCACAGTTGTTTTCATTCAGTGATTGTCTGTGCATTTACTCAACAAAAGACTACAAATAGTAACCTTGGATGGTTTTCATTTTAAGCAGTTGACCTCTGTAACAAATATGGCCAGTTCACGTGGCTAGCTCACCGCTAGTCAAATGTGGTGACCTCTTCACAGTCTGCTTGAAATAGCTTAAATAAGCAGCAATGCAGAAACCAAACATATTGGTAGTTTTTCAAGTTTTGTTTTTTGTGAATATCAACAGGCTGTGCTTGCTATTGAGTGTTAACTAAAGAACTGTATTGTCTTATGGGTGCTGTGTGAGTAGTGTAATTTTTACCAAATGTTTTTGTATTTTTAAAAGCAAAACCCAGAAACACAAGTATAGAATACTAATATTCCCTTGCATTGCTCATGTGCTTAGTGCTTATGTGCTTTAATTTATCTTTTTTTTTTTTTAAGATTCCATTTTAAATTTAATAAATAGTCTTTTCCCATTTGTTAGGATTGTTTAAAGATTAACTGCTCATGTTCAGAATTCAGACTGTATTAATGTCAGAAACAATGCATTCAAATTAAGTTTTCATGCTTAGACTATTCCTATAATGTCATCAGTATGTGCCTCAATCTGGTACTTAGATTATTTGTTCATAAATATTTCATACTGATTTCATAATTTTGTCACTTCTAAGGATTTTCTGAGTCCTGCCTTCTGTCTGTATTATCTGTAGCAGCCTGCAATGCCAGGCTCTTACAATCATTCTGTGAATATGACGCAAGCCAAAATTAGTTGTTCCTGTTATAAATAGAACTGCATGCAAAAGAAGCCCGAGACATACTTTTGCAACAAATACTTTTAAATGGCTATTGAGGTCAAGTTTCATACCCTCTGGACTTTGTGTTAAGTTTTTCATATCTTTTAAGCTTTTTAAATATACCTTTTTTTGTTTCTAGCTGGTGAAACTGCTTATATCATGCCTTCGACAAGGGTCAGTACTGGACAGACAAATGATTCGCACTCCTCTGTAAGTCTGAAAAAGTATAATCCAATTGCTGTATTTATTATACTGTTGATTAGTTGTGAGGACTCTTCTGTTTTCCTTTAATTATATGTCTGAAAGAAAAGCAATGTATATTTAGGGCTTGAAGTGAATAATAAAGGGGTAAACATTTCTGTTGTAAAACTAATTGCATTGTGTGGGTTTGATTTGAGTCTAAACAGCAGTTGTGTAGTTGGGAGGAGATCCAAGTATGTGTTTCAACTGTTCAATTATTTTTATCGACTGGCACAGTGGAATGGTCTCTCTGCTGCATGATGAGCAAAAGAAAGATGTTTTTCTGTATGCATAACTGAACTTTAGATGAAGTGTGTGTTAGATCAGACTAGTGTTAGCTGCTGATCTATAGGTTTGAAACGTAACTAAACTGACATCTTGATGTTTTTCCCTAGAGGAGATGGGGACTGGCTATGCAAGCTGTAAATACTACCTGAAAAAGTAAATGCTTCCTATTTCACCTGCTTACAACTTAATACACAAACCCAAGGTGCCACTGTTGCCACCAAAAGAGAGGAGCTAAGGATGGGAAGAAGCAGCTGCTACTTAAAGGGTTGGGGTGTTTTTGCCAACAGCAGCTGCCACTCCTGCCCCTTTTCCATGCTGGCAGGATGATGGCCTGTCTGTGCTGGGCACTGACCATGCAAGCACCCTCCCTGGTGCCTGGAGACAAGCAAGAAAAGACAGTTTGTCTCCCATGCCCTCCACCACCATCACCCCATGCCACAGCAGTGGCCCAGTTCTCAACTGCAAACGAGTTCAGCAGAAGCTTGAAAGAGAGTATGTTTGGGGCTGAGGTATAGCTGAACCCCAGGTAGAGCTACTGGCCTTGGACCATGTTGTGAAACTTCTTGACCTTGGAGTGAAATTAACTCACAACCACATGCTGCTACAGACACCTAGTTCTACACCTTTAAACTTCTTCCCCTCCCTGTTTAAACTAGAATGTCAGAGGTGACATCCCAACTGTTGTTTGGTGTGGTTTGTTTTTGTTTTTTTTTTTTCAAATGATGGACTGTGTTTAGATCAATATCTAAGAAGCAGTTGGTTTTGAACAGTGTCTTAGTAATACATGCATATTCCTTTGAAGTATAAGAAAGTAATGCTGGCATGAAAGGGGGTCATCTCTTACGTATACTAGAGTCTTAACTTTTTTTTTTAACATTACGTTGAAGTATGGGTAGTCTACATAACGTGTTCTTCAAATACTAGAAAACTCCACAAAGGCAGACAGCACCGGTGAAAGCAAGAGACCGGCAGTGGTATGATGTTGGAATTTTTAAGAACAGCAGCGCTGTGGTGAGCCAGTTCTACTTGCTGCCAGAGGAAACACTGAGCGTCTCTAACAAGGTAGCTGATAATTCCTCTCTGACATACTTGCACATACGTATTTGGGAATGTGTTGCTCATGTGGTTGACAATAAAATGTGGGATTTTTCTGACGCTGCAGCAGGATCTGGTGCTTACAGGAGTTTTGTATTTAGTGACCACGTAGTTCCTCCTGTATTTTGCTCACCTCTTTTTACTGTTTCCTAAACCAGATTAATTTTCTTCTGTTGTTCCTGTATGATAGTATGGAATGTCTTATTGTGCTATCGTTAATTCTTTCCACATTGCTATTTCTAGCCTTAGGAAAGCATTTTAAACTTTGTGAACTTTCAAAACAGTAAATTTATTTAAAATTAAAAAACCGCAACTTTTAAATACAATATTTCAGTAGACCATTGAAATGTTTTGATCAAAGTTTCATCTCTGTTTCCAGAATCTTTGCTTACAAATTGTTAAAGATACAAGTAAGACATCGGCTAGGCTGTTTAAAAAGGCTAGATATGGAACTGTAGTGGGTTTTGCATTAGTTTTCTCTAAATTAATGTTGCTGCACATGTAAGTTCATATATGAAAATGCTGTATGTGTGAAACTTGCAAAAATGTTGCAGTTTTGATGGTGAAAGTGTCACCAAAATTGGGAAGAACGAACCTCGTAACACCAATGCAGTGTTAAAAGGCAGGCATTCTTTATTCACAGCGCCGGGTGCACGGGGGGGTCGCTCCACCTATCGTGCATACCATCAAGCGGCAACTTGTGCTGTTTATATGTAGCAAAGTGTTACATATGCATGAAGTTTCCCAATATGCCTATACATATGCATAACCTGTCCTGCTTTGTATTAAAATTAGCTTCAGGAGGTCATTTCCATAAGTCCCTCCCCACTGCGCTTGCTCAGTGCCTCCTGGTGGTGGTGGTCAGGGGTCGAGGGGATGAAGGCTGATGGTTCCTCTTCGTCACCGCTAGTAACCCCTTGTTCTTGCGCAGACTCAGTTGCTTCTTGGCTCTTGCCCAAACTGCAGGGTCGGTGTAAACCAGTTCTTATAGGGTTCTAAATTTACTAACTAACTATACTACAGACTTTAGAAAAACATCCAAACTAGACACTACTGATTTTAGTAAAACATCTGCACTAGACTCTATTGACTTTAGCAAAGCAACAGCAAACTAGACAATACTGACTTTAGCAAAGCGTCAGCAAACTAGACAATAAGGCCTAAGTCTTATGCATATAAGCCACTTATATCTGGGGGTCTTTTGACTCTTAAGGTATCATTTCCCCCCTTTGGAAGTTTTGAAATAATTATCTTTTCAATACTTCCATCTTAAATCAACATTTCACTGCTAACGATTCAATTTACTTATTACATGATGGTGGGAGCATTGCGATCGAATCATTCAAATCTTGTCCCTTGGCTACTGTTTGTGTGATGAACCGGTTGAGGGCAGTCCTCTTACTGAATTCCTTCTTTAGACAATAGTAAATAAGTAGTATTGCTAAGAATACTATTAATAATAGCAACACAGTACTAATCAAGGATTTTAGCCAGGAACTCAAATTCCATCCTAACCCACTGAGAATTTTGCCTAGCCAATTTTCTTGCATATCTTGTTGAATTCCTTGGGTATCTTTTTCTATTTGTCCCATGTTTTACAATGATATCCCCCCCCCTTTTAAACATGTTTTAAAGTCAATTTTGCAGTCTCTGGATCTCTATTGATGATTTTCCATGTAGGGGCCTTCTTCACTTGAGTGTAGTGCATCCATGGTTTCACTCCTTCCACTTTAATTGCAGTGTAAGTTGTTAACAGTACCTGGAAGGGTCCCTTCCACTTCTCCTGCAGTGGTTCAGGGTCCCATGTCTTTATGTACACAAGATCACCTGGCTGATACTGGTGTGCAGGCGTATCCAAGGCAAGCGATCTGGTCAGTACTATGTGTCTTCAAAGGGCTCCAAGGGCTTTTCCTAAAGAAATCTCATACATTTTCAAATCTGTTTCCCCCGCTACCTTCATATCCCCTGGGATGAGAGGAGTCTGGTAAGGTTTGCCATATAATATTTCATATGGACTTATACCATCCTTAGATCTTGGTTGGATTCTAATTCTCAGGTGGGCTAACGGTAAGGCCTGTGGCCATTTTAAAGACGTTTCTTGACAGATTTTACTTACTTGTCTTTTCAATGTTTGGTTCATCCTCTCAATTTTCCCACTTGATTGTGGTCTCCCGGGGGTATGCAGGTCCCATTTTATACCCAAAATGTTGCTAATTTGTTGAACCATATTC